ATCCAGGGGGGCCACGGGAACCCCCTCCACCTCCACATCGGCATCTGGCACAACAAGGCAAACACACACACACACACACACACACACACACACACACACACACACACACACACACACACACACACACACACACACAGAGTAACTTACAAAGAATAACTATCCACATTGGTTTTTGGGCCTGTTTCTGTCTCTGGCTATGTGACAGGTTTGAGGAGGCAGGTTGGTAGGTTGAGCAGAGTTGAAGCGGCCGTGAGGGAATGGGAAGACTGGGTCGTCTTTGATGGGTTTGAACTTCAGAGTGAGTCTGAGAGAACTGTTTGTTTGGCTCTTTTCTGGAACTCTGCACTGTTTAGGGCTCACAAGACCATGATGACCATGAAATGACTGCTGTGACAGTAGTTTGCTGGAAAAGTGGTTGTGTGTTTCTGTCTGACTGTCTGTCTGTGTGTCGATATGACCATGTGTGTTCCTAGATGGTTTGTCAACTGTTCTCTCTGTTTGTATTGCATAACCATTTCACAGACAGTTTTTGTTTAGCTTGTGTGACTGTTGTCAGTGGGTTAATGGTCTGCATATTACAACAGTCTGAGAATTGTTTGTTTATATATGACACATTTAAATACCTGTTTAAGGCTGCCTGTGGCTGAGTATTTGACAGTGTGTAAAACATGTCCACAGTACAAGAGCAGACAAAGGAAATGCTATAACTCCTGCTGATTGAGCAGAAACGTGTTTATTACCAGTCTGCACTGACAATAATGGTTGTTTATCAATAATACATTACAGGTAGCTGTGTGTCTGTCTCTCTGTCAATATATATATATATTTATATGTCATTATAGATTTCTTTATAGATCTGAAATGTCCCCCATAGTGCGACTGCAACAACTTATGCAAGAAACAAACAGGCAAGGTTTGTTCAGCATGTCTCCCTGCTTGTTTGTGGTCTTGTCTGGACCGCAGCAGGACTATTTTATTGTAAAGACAAAGCTTTCAATGGCTCTGACTGTATAAGTGGATCAGGCTTTTTCTGTTTTCAATAGTCCTTTTCATTGCCGTTTTGTATCATCATTATTAGTTTAGATAAACAGAATAAACATCCCTTTTATCCCAAATAACACATCCTTCCCAGTAAGACCAAACTTGATATACAAAAAAGTTTAATAAGCAACAGAAATTGTTTATAGTATAAAAAACAAAAAAAAAGGAATTGATTTAAAAAAATCAGACATATACAATCCAGTCATTTCTTCCTATTAATAACCATGTTAGTCTTACTATAACACAAATGACTAGCTATGTTGGAGTGATGGTGGTCTTACCAAACCCTTGTCAGATCACAGAAATGTACAGTGTCAAGTCATGTCTTAATTAATTACTCTTTCACTGTTAAGTCAGGTCATCTAATGCTGCTGCTAGATATCTCCTTCATCCACTGGCCTCAATTAGGTCTCTAATTATCCTTCCATTTTTACACATGTGGCTTGAAACAGACAGACATTAGTTGGTTTGTGTTTCCTTACATGTCCTGTAAATCTTCATATAATTAACAAAGTGTGGTTGAAGATGGGGAACAGTAACATCCCTTTCTGTCAATATGGAAATCAGTTCAATATCTGGGGCTTCTGACATTCTCACATACAGTTAAATGGAGCATGGTACAATTTCTTCATTGGATCAGTGTATGTTCTGTGAAATAGAAAACCCATTTGTGAATATGGGCTATACAAATATAATTTGATTGATTGATTGATTGAAATACTCTATATCTGTGTCACTACAGTACTAGCTAAAGTATACTGTTGCTATTATGGTGATTTATTTGATAACATATTCTCCCACTCAGGTCAGTAATGGAGCCCCTTGCCCAGTGGGACAGTCCCATGCAGGTGAAATTGTCCTGCTGGAAACCTGGCCTGAACACCCTGCTGGTGGAGCTGCTGCCCTGGGCTCTGTTAGCCAACCACTCCAAATGGGACCTCTGGCTTTTTGAGGGAGAGACCATTGTTCTCCAGATACCGGCCGGCAAAGTCATTGTTCCACCCAACTTCAAGGTAGGATGCGATCTATCATATTCTGATGGTTAGAAATTCTAAACTGTGAGAATTGGAGCTACTGAGGCCAAACTATCCACACTTTTGTTCTCAAGCTCTAAAACACATATTCTTTATTTCCCATTATGCAAATGACTAACACCTTTTTTTAGACTTCTCCTGCCTGGTAAATTCCTTTGTCTTCCAAAATCCATGCATCCAATAATAATTTACAAATCTGTGGCATTTAGTCCAAAATCAAGATAACCCTGATGACACCATGAGGGTTAGTTTCTTAGGCCTTAGATGTCTCTTTCCAGATCCACTGACGATATTATATAACAGGACACATAAACTACACTTCATAGTTCATATGTAATAGGTATGTAGTAAAGTTTGTTGTTCTAATTTTTACTTTACCAACTACATTTCTTATATAGCAATCAAACAACAATTTTCTATGCTATTTTTAAATGTTTCCAATCAGGACAAAATTAATTAAAGACATAACCATCTGTGTACTGTCCGCGATCTTCAGATACCTAATATTGTATTATTTTATTTTTAGATTAAGACCAGGAACTATTTCTTTTTGTGCCATGCCAGCTTTAAGGATGAAACCAGCTCTTTTCTCATTTCAGTCTGAATTAATCAAAACCTGACATAATGTACCAGAGCTGCATTACAACTATATTCCCTGCCCTAAGTATTTATCTGCAGCCAAGCTCTGTCCCCATATGCTGTAGGCATTTCTTCTCACTGGTTTCTGAGCTCAGAAGAAGCGGTCTGCAGATGTTTTTTCTCATAAACACATGAACAGATTTTGCTGCCACTAACCCAGGGCTATGCAAAAAGGCAAAGTTTCAAAGAACAAGCGCTGATATGGGTCGGCACAAACAAACAAAATGAGAAGTGGTAAATGTGTGATAGCCTGTGAAATTGAAACAAATAAAGCCATGATTCCATAGCACCCTGCTATTTATCACTGAACAAAAATTAAGCGAGTACTCTACTGGGGGGGGAGCTCAAGCATCTGCAACACAGGGATGGATTTTATAAACTCTTCAGTTGACAGGACTGTTTTGAGAAACTTTGCAGAGGACATGGACACTGTCAGGGAATTTGCAATGAGGCTACAGTTGACCTTAGTATGTGACTGTTTCCAGAATACAATCAAACACAGTCAGTTTCAATAGTAAGATTTGCCTGACACGAGTGGCAGTGATTTGACCTCTGATTCATTTCTCCCCTTTCTTATTCTCCTACTCTCACCCTTCACATCTTTCCTTCTGCCCCCCCTCTTTGCACCCTTGTACCCCAAATCCAGGAAGCCTTCCAGATCGGTATCTACTGGGCCCACACCAACACCGTCCACAAGTCGACCGCATTCAAACTAGTCCATGACTTGACTTCTCCTCGATGGAAAGAGGGATCAGGCTCAGAGGTGGTCACTTTGGATGAGGAGGGATGTGTAGAGGCAGACATCTCCCTGGGAGCCTTCCCTGGAAGACAGAAGGTGAGAAAAACAAAGACCTAACTTTAAAGCTGAATACATAATGTTACATTCCATCACCACTCCTCTTTCAATGTCCTGATATTTAAAAAGTGTATTGCATTCGGGGAGTGCAAAACAGTTCACAGAATTATCAAGGCTTTTAATGTGTTGTAATATATCAGAGTGCATTTTACATTTTCTGGTATGTTTATTGAATTACAATGTGGTTTTCAGCTAATAAAAACCAAACCGTTTATTTGTTTTGATATATACTGATACCAAATTACAGATTATATGTCATAAGTAAAACAGAAAAAAACACCATTTATGTGTTATCAAACACATAATAAGGGAATAGGGGCAATAAAATTATTGCTTTTGTACTAAATGTTTTTAGTACAATGAAATATAAAGTGACTATTTTTGAGTATAGTAAACAGAAAGCAAGTGAGTGATTTTTTTTTTACGTTTTGGATGCATCTTCCATTACAGCATCAACTTTATTAGCTCTTCATCTCACCACATTAAAATCATATCCAGATCTCTCAAGTAAATGTACATTTTTATCACCCATAGCTGACAGTTTAATCACTGTTGTTTCCCCTGTAGCTGTGTCAGTTCTGTGTGTCGTCTGTGGTGAGACACGGCATCCAGATCCTACAGATCGAGGACAGAACAATTCTTGTCAACAACACTCCTTACACAATACAGTACAGCCCTCTGCTGACTGACCACGCACTGGGAACTGATGACCAGGTATGGGCATGTGACATGAACACTTTTCTCTTATCTGTCAACCTGAAATATCTTGAGAGAAGTTATACTTTGATTTAATAAATGAATCAATCAAATCTGGGTTATTTTGTTATATATCAGACACCTAAATACAGAATCTTTTTTAGGTTGTATTCTCCACCATCTTTATTAAAACATGTAAAACAACTGCTTGATAGAACATATGTCACAGGGTTTCTTGTAATTAACAGGAAGATATTCCATATATCACAACAACTGCTCAGTGTCAAAGTCCCCACCATCTTAATTCAGTGCTGCATCTCTATAAAACAATGTGAAACTGGAATGGCACTCAGGGGAGCGCATACCTCCACCAAAGCCCAAAAGTCCCTAATCAGTGAAGCTGCACCAAATCACACACACTTGTACATATCTGTTCCCTTAATCTGCTCGATTTTTTTCATCAAGATCGATGATTTTTTATTATTATTATTCCCTGGGATAAAGGGGAAATCCTATCTCAAAATGCTACAGAAAAGCATGTCAGTCCTGTCCAGCTGATGTTTCTGTAGCTGTTTAGTTCCTACGCACATTACTCACACATCCAACAAACCACCGCCACACACACCACACATGCACTGCAGGGATGTAGCAAGCCGTTTTCCATCAGATCATCTCTCCTTCCAACATTCTCACAATATGGCAATGGCACTTCACAGGGACATTAGACAAACACCCAGAATTGAATGCAGGTTTCCCTTCTCACTTTCATCTGCTGCATGTCCCCAAAGAGAGCAACAATGTAGTGATGTCATCTAACGAGCCTTCAGAATCCTTTAAAGAAGGATGGCAGAGCTTGCCAGTTGCCACTAATTGACTGAAAAACTTTTAAAAAAGAAAAGAGCCTAAAAATGTAAATAGCGGGCGCTGGGCTTAACAATAACACAGACCGCAAACAAGGCTAGGAATGCCTTTTTAGTCGGTCTGTTCATCATGCTTAGTGCCTAATCCCCACAGTCCTCAACTACTTGCTGCGCACAGGCAGCTAACCCATCACAGCAGGGCTTCTCTGCTACCAATTTAGCACTAAGCTCAGTGGGAGAAAGAGGAGAGTACAATAACAATGTGGTTTTACCATGTATCTTTTGTTATAGTCACTTGCGTCCGCTGTCTTTCTTTTTTTCTTTGCCCCCATGTCCCATTCTTATATCCGTTTCTAATGCAACTTTTGTCCACCCTCTAATTTATTCATATTTCCTTTCCTCACCTCTTTTTTTTCATATTCTTTCTTTTCCTTCCTCATTGTTTTCTCGTGTTTAAATCATTATTTTTTTCTCTATTTTCCTCTCCTCTCCCTTTCTCTTCCATTTCAAAATGTTTATACTATGTCCTCTCTCCAGGCCTGTGAGATACAAGAGACGTCTGTGTTTAGCCTGGCTCCCTCTGAAGAGTCATCCCCGGCCAAGCCCAGCTCAGTGCCATGCTGGGACCTCCTCCAAACCAATGTCCAGGGAAAGGTGGAGTACCCTCTGCCAGTCAGATACATGCTCTTCAGCTTGTTTCCCAGGCCTGATGCCGGGGTTGGATCTGCGGCATGGAGCCTCCCTGCTCCCATCCATCCAGACTTCCCCAGGCAGAGTTTGTCTGTTCCTGTGGGACCAAGCTCTGGGTTTGGCCTTAGCAGCAGGTGGGTGAAGCAGAGCATTTGTGGTTTGCTGGCTGTGACAGTTCATTTAGAGCAGGGTTTGAACCCCAGCTGGCACAGGACATCAAGCGGCGAGGCACTGGAGCTAGTCACAGCTTGTTAAACATTGGAGATGGAGCAAAAGAAGAAATGCCCTCAACATTTCCACTGTCAATCTCTCAACTTGTCTTCTGCAATTGATCGTTCTCAGTCTATCTGATGTCTTTCTTTCTTCATACATTCTCTTACTTTATTTTTGTTTTAAATTCTTTATTTTCCTTTGAATTTCTTCAGCTACAGTAGTCTGATTAGATAGCTTCTGGGACCATTTTCAATAAAAACACAGTGGTATATACAATAAGTAGGCCAATGTGCAATTAGTAATTATTTTTACAGATACACCTCTGCGTTCTGGTGTTTGGCTGCCCAGCAAGGTTTCACTCATTTACTGTATGAATTCTGATCTGTGTGTGGTTAGAAAGGGTTTTGAGCTTCCTTTGGAAAGTTTAGTTACGGCTTTGATTATTTATCTTTTCATTTGTTTTACAGAGCCATAGTACTTACATATCAGGAACACCTTGGGGTGACATACATCACTCTGAATGAGGACCCTTGTCCACGCATGCTGATCCACAACAAGTGTCCAATCCCTCTGCTGCTGAAGGAAACTGTCAAAGGTAAGAAGAGCGATGACTGACTGGAGCGGACACCTCTCCTCTCATCTCGTCCATTTGCCAGATCTACTTGAGGCGTTGCATGTCCTTTGATCTGAACAGAACTTACTATTATTTTACTTATAAAGCGCTTTGAGGGTCATCAAGACTAGAAAAGTACTATATAAATACAGACCATTTCCCATTACTTACACTGATATATTATCTGTCATAGAAACTCCAAAGACTGAGGTATACTGCCGTCCTCTCCCTGCCAACTGTTCTCTGCACCATGAGCTTCATCACCACTTTTCCAGTTTCCCTGAGTGTAGGCAGAAAGAGATGTTGCCCACTCTGCTGCTGAAAACCACCTCAGACCACGGCACCACCGACTGGACTGACCCCATAGATATCAACTGCCTCGGTACTCAGGTACAACAAGCACGCATGCATGGTTTACAACCAAACTGAGTACACTCCAAGTCACTGAAATGTTAAGTAGTTACGAATCCTGCTCTTTGATTACAATTTTGTTTGTAGCCAAAAAAGAATGAAGCTGATTCATTTGAAAAACAGAAACAAGGGTGATTTAATAGTGAATTTTGTATGCCACCATTTCTCAAGGATGACCATTGTGTTTTCTGTTATTGCTGTTGTTCATCCTATACCTCCTTATCAGTGCTGCTACTGTGTTTCATCTTATGTTTGGTAGCCTGTTAAAGATCTTGTGCTCTCTCTTGTCATAATGATTCAATTGGCAAGCACATTGGCAACTGTTGGGAGAAATAATTTGTATTGTTGTTGCTGTAGTAGTTGTTGAATAGTGTCATATCTGGAGTCAGAGATAAAATATGAGAGAGAAACTCTGACACAGTGATGGGAGCTCCCCCAGCAGTGGCAATACAGGGCTGTGGTCCTCTCTATTGCTGCTTTCAGACAAGCGCTGGACTCCGCAGATCTTCCGTATTTTCTCCAGAGGAGATGCATGTGTGAACGCAAATGTCAGAGTGAGACGCTCTGCAGTTTCTTTGCTTTATACTAGGAGGTCAGGCGGGTGAAGTCCGTAGAAATCCGGATGAAGTTGATGTGTGAACACAGCAGGGGATTCACCGCAAACAAGTGGGGGGGTGATGACGCTTCTAACATGCAGCAAACGTCTGTGCAGAAAACCTCCAGCTGTGTTGTGCATGAGTAAAAATCAGACTATGAGTAAACTCCGTAGCCAATTCTCCAGATTTTACCTGGAGGTCATGTCAGAAAACAGCCTAAATATATGATAGGGCTTGATTGTTAAGGGCTTTGTATGTGAGGAGCAGGATCTTGAAATCTATTCTGAATTTTACAGGGAGCCAATGTAGAGAAGCTAAGACAGGAGTAATATGATCTCTTCTTATAGTTCCTGTCAGCACTCGTGCTGCAGCATTTTGGACCAACTAGAGGCTTTTCACAGTCTTCCTGGGGCATCCTGATAATAAAGAATTACAGTAATCTAGTCTAGAGGTAACAAATGCATGGACTAGTTTCTCAGCATGCTTCTGAGACAGGATGTTTCTAATCTTCACAATATTGTGCAGGTGGAAGAAACCTGTCCTAGAGACTTGTTTTATATGTGGGTCAAATGACATGTCCTGGTCAAACATAACTCCAATGTTCCTCACAGTGGAGCTGGGGGCCAAGCTGACACCATCCAAGATGACTATCTGGTCAGTTCTGAGTCATCCAGGCTTTAATGTTCTTGAGACATTCCTGAAGTTGAACTAAGTGATTAGATTCACCAGGCTTCATAGATACATATAGCTGGGTTTACCTGCATAACAATGGAAGTGTTGTCCTTTCTGCTCTAAGGAAACATATACAACGGTCCATCAGTCCAAGTATAGAACCTTGTGAAATTCCATGACTCTCTTTTGTGTTCATGGAAGAGTCATTGTTAATGTAAACAAATTGTAATATATCCTAGTATAGCCTAGTGCTCTCTTTAATCCCTAGTGTTCTAGTCTCTGTAAAATAATCTTCAATAAATCAATCAAATTTTATTTGTAATTTTTTTTTATTTTATAGCCCTAAATCACAATTTGTCTCTAGGGCTTAACAAGGTGAGACCTCCTCTGTCCTTAACCCTCAACAAGAGTAAGGAAAAACTACCAAAAAAAACTATTGACAGTGGAAAAATCTTCAGAGAGCCACACGTGTGGGATCCCTCTCCCAAGACGGACAGAAGTGCAATAGATGCCGTCTGTAACTGAACACATAAACAAAATAACAATATTTACAACATTCATGAGAAGAAACCGTTTATAACATAATGCAATAGTGTGTCAATGTTTAATCTTATGATCTATTATATCAAATGAGGCTAAGATCTAAGATCCAGCAGGACAAGTGTAGAGACAGTGCTGTTTCTGTGCTGCTAAATCCTGATTGACCCTTATCTTCAAACAGGCCATTCTTGTGCAAATAATCAAACAATCCAGGTTCTGAATGTGGAGCCATCTTGCATTGGACACAACCCAGGCCAATACTGAGGAAGCTGTGGTGTGTGTGTGTGTGTTTTTGCCCTGGTCAATATGTGTAATATTGTGGGTTTAGTAAGAAGTTACGGTGGTGTGTGTAATGTTTGGTGTTGTGTCTAACCAGCTGTAGGCTGGGGTTGAGGTTGAGGCCGCCTATCTCTGGTTACTGCGAGGTTTGAGTCTGACCTATGTGGTAGGGGTGAGAGGTGAAGGGTCGGACTTGTTATGACTGCTCAGCAAAGTGTTCAGCAGGGATCTGTTTCCTTTCGTAACATGAGGGACTGATCACTCTGGACCTAGAGTGGCAGAGGCTAAAGTCAGACACATGCGTGCTGTGAAACACACACATGAAGAATAATGTAAAGAACACTGAGCTGCTCCTTTAATCTACTCTGTGTTTGTTGAAGGTGAAATGCACCTCACTCCATCTTTGGCTCTTTGAGTGTTACTCTATGTCACTACAGATTTGTTTTGTGGTGTTGTTTAGGTCGTGTTCCTGCCTGGTTTTGGTTGTCTCTACATTGATGTGGTACATGAGAGAGGTACCCTGGTCTTGTCTCTAGCACCAGAGGGCAGTGTGGACACTATAATCAACCAGCACAACAGGTATGTGTGTTCTTGTGCTCCCTGCGTTTATGCTTCCTACGTATTGGAACCATAGTAAACCATCTGTGCATGCACCACATACCACTTTGCCTTCGACTGTTTTCAAATTGCTTTATAATCATTAATTCATAATTCAAAGTTACCCTTTCATGCAGCAGATGTTACGGGAACAGATAGACACCACTGTCACCACAGGAGGGTGCTCAAACCTTCTAATATTGTCTTCAGTGACGTTAGTTATGCAGGAGAAACATGAGAAGAACATAATATGCCCTGTAACCTGAGAAAACACACGCTAATAGACAATACACAACCAAACTATGACATCATCTTCATTCATTTGACAACACATGTGCAGTATTTATAAAAATGGGTGATAAAACAGAACCAAACATGCAAATGCAGAGCAAATACTGCTACTTGCAGTGTTTGAGTACTTCTTACCTTGCAGCTTTTTTGCTGCACATGTCATATGTATTTAGATGTTTACTTAATTTCATTGTGTTTTGTCTATTTGCAGGGTTATTCTTAAATTGCAGTTGGTCTCAAGGTCACTGTATTACAGAATTACTCCAGTACATCAACACACATACTGCTTTGTCATTTCGGCAAACTAGAAAGTTATTTTTATGACTTGAGGTAAAGGTAAATAAAATACAACTGTGGTCATTGTTGATCTGCTGGTGGTGGAAAAAGTCAGCACAAGCTGAATGATTTTGGTTTTCATTGATTTTTCAACAACTCATTATTGTTGAACCTTAATTATGTTTCACATGGAGTTGTTTGTATTTTGCTCTCAGACAACATCCTGCTAAACTTGCATGAGTAAAACGTTTTTTTATTTATTTCATCATGTCATTGTATTTTCACATTAATATTTGTTGTTTTCAGGTCTTTGAAGCTGTCCTTCAGAGTTCTCGTGAGTGAGACCAGTGTGGCTTTGAGTGATGACATCACTAGGCCCTCTGGTTCTGTGGAGTTGCTTCGACTCACGTTGACTAAGCTGCTCCTCAGTCTGGCTCCAGAACCTATCCTTCCCCTGGAGCTGAGAGTTGACCCTGACATGGAAACAGCATCCATCTCAGCTCTGATGCCTGATACCTCTCTGATTGAGGTCTTCTGCTCCAGTCTGCAAATAGACAACCAGCTGTATAACCGGGCAAGTTTCCACTTCCCTGTGCTGCTGTGCCAGGATCAGAGAGGGGGAGTTGATCCCGGGGGTCCATGGAGCAGCGATGTCAACCCCACAGAGTCTCCTGAAGCCCTGGAGGAGTTCAAACGCTCTTGTTTCCTGCAGCTGAGGATGACGCTGGCTGGAGACAAACGCACTGTGGAGGAGGTTGGATTGGATTTGCTTTTTCTTTGTCACAGTAGACAGACTGCTGTTTGATAACCTGAACATTGACTTTGAATTATTTTGTCTTCTATCTGTTAGTCTTTTATACGCACTCTTTGCTACTCAAAGCACTGGTAGTACTCAATCTATAACCCCAGTAATCACACCCGAGCAACAACAGAAATCATGTCAACACCCAAAAAGTATAGTATGTGTGATTATTCAATCTCTTTATTAATTCAATTCAAATAGAAATTGTTTTACAACTGCACATGGAAATAATTCACCTTTTTTCAAAGACAGGGTATCAAAGTGTCAAAGTGAATGTCCTCTCTTTCCAGTCATTTCTCACAGTTCTCATTACAGCTTTGTGCACATTCTCCTTAGGTCAACTTCCAGCTCCAGCCTGCCAGAGTCTACCTTGAAGACACCTTTGTTTACTACATTAAGACCTTGTTCTACACCTACATCCCTGACAGAGCTATAGCCTCGGCTACAGCAGCGAGCCAGAGGACTAGAGAGTCTGGACCAGCCCCCACGCTCCCTGAACAGGTTCACCAATCATCATATCATGTCTTTATTTACAATGGGGCTCATAATTCTAGTCACTTTATTAAATCACTCATCATTATCAGTACAGTGCCCTACACATGACAGACAGACAGGCAGACAGAGGCCTCTGGAATTAATAGATAGATCAATCTATCAATAGATAGATCTCTGTCTTATCCCCTCTTTCCAAATTCTCATAATTTTAAGAATGTGTGATTGTTTGACACGCTCTTCGGAATTATTCCTTGACATTAGTGAGTCCTTCTTAAACAACTCTATAATATGCTGTCACCTTTTATTGTTTGTCAATGGTGCAGAGTGAAGTTAGAAAACTTTCTGTCAATCCTACCTGGTGTAGCTGCAATGAAGATTTTATAGTGTTTTTATAAAATGAAACTGAATTTGCTTGATCACTGCTCACGTATGTGTCCTTTATAAGATTAAATGATTAACTGGTGTTATCTTTTTCATACATTACATGTTGGCTATTTCAGATGTCTGTTTTTACATTACATTGCTAAAGAGGAAGTAATTCTATGAATGTTGCTGTCATGTGTGAGATCAACACCTGTGGTACCTGTGAATATCTGTGTCAGTCCAGTATGGTGAAATGAAAATAATCAGATTGTCAGATATATACTGTATATAATCAGGTAGATATTAGTCCACAGTTAACCTTGGGCAGACATACAGGTAGCAGCATTCAACTTTATTATAGCTAACAGCCTGCTTACATCATATCTGCTCACAATAATGCACTCTTATTGTCAAATCATGTAAGGATGAAATCATTCTGTAAGGGATAAATGATGATCTACATATTTTAGTATAGTTTGGTAATATTTGAAAAATCTTTCTCATAATTAATTTTGTAATATTCTCCAGGTGCTTCAGTCGCTGCAAGCATTAGTCAACCCAGTGCGGCTGCAGAGGCTGACCATCCAGCCGGTCAACCTGCTGGTCAGCATCCATGCCTCCCTTAAGCTGTACATTGCCTCAGACCATACTCCACTCTCCTTTTCTCTGTTCGAGAGAGGGCCGCTCTGCACCACAGCCAGGCAGCTTGTCCACGCTCTGGCAATGCACTATGCTGCGGGAGCCCTCTTCAGAGCTGGTAGGTCATTGACAGAGGAGACAGCTTTTTGTCTCTCTGAAAAAAAAACATATTCACATGCAGCCATATCTACAGAGTTTGTGGTGCATTTATTATCAATAGCTACATGTACATTATTTCCTAAATAACAGGATTTTTGCTTGAGTGAGAAATTCTATAAATTTACTGTCACTAGGTTCAGAGTTGGGTATTTGAAATGATTGCTCCCATTAGGGGGGGGCTCCTGTTACTCTGTGGCAGAAAGTGCAGTAAAACTAACTTGAATAGCTGGAAGCACGAGAAAGATTTAGATTCTCTTATGGACATAATTTATTGTGAGACTTCTGTTTCACACTCCCAGTGTAGGCAGGATGTTATGGTTAATCCGTGAATGACCACCAGGTCTAAGCCTGACTTTATCAGGCGCTGTAAAGGTACTCTTCCTCTCTCCCTCATTGTCCTCCTGTCAAGTCTAAGACTCCACACATGGTCTGATTTAACTCTGACATTCCCACATCAGAAATCACCGTTCTGGCCGGATGCGTCCTTCCCGCTGTCTCTCATTAAAGCCCTCATTTCTGCTCGTATTTCAACACATCACCTTACCACGTTCTCCTCTTCCTGAGTCATCACAGAGAGAGGGACCTGGAAACAATGCATTCTGGGCCTGCTTAGCTTTAGGATGTATGGTACTACAATCACACATACACCCACAGGCGTAAATCCCCGGTCTGCACATGCAAAGACTTATGGACATATGGATATTAAAAGGCATAAACTCCAGTATATGCATGTGTGTGTTTAAAAGCATGACTCAGGCCTGTAAACATCAGCTCCTGTCACGTCTTCATGCTTTACCAAAACCACAACTGGGAGACTTTGTAAAGCAGAGAGACCACTTGGCCCCACTGGAGTTTGTTACCTCCCATTAGAGTCCATCACTCAAGAGCAAATTGACAGAGAATAAGAACAGAGCCTTGAGAAATGGCTATTTGATTTTTGTGATGCAATTGTCAGTGCATAAATATCAATGAGCCTTGCCATCTGAAGGAGACTCAATGGATGAATGAGAGAGGCGAGATTGTAGGAGACTGTAAATCTAAGTGTGTCAAACGGTGTGTCTGTGTGCACAAGTGTATGTGTCTGTGTGTTTGTCAATCTTTGAGTTATGTAGAAGTACATTCTTATAAATTTAACACAGTGTGAACGTCATAATGTCAAACACTTTGTACATTATTCTGTACATTTCTGTAGGAGCATTTGCTCTTAAAGCAGTTTTTGGCACATAGAGGATAATGAAAGTGACTTTACTCAAGGGGCTTGTATGTTCAATGTTCCTCACAGAGTAAATGTTCCAGATGTATTTTCTTTTTATTTCTATAAAATGCAAAACTCATTTCAGGACTGTAAAGAAATACTATCGGATTATACATTATGTTTTACATGGCTACGTCCAACAACGATACAGTTAAAGTTGATTTATTTAAATATTTTCTTCCAGTCCAACTTTTCTTGTGAAGCTAAACTGTGTAAGTTTCTCCAGAAAACACAAAAAGGGAAAGAAGACACTGCTGGATAAAACATGTCATAGCATTGAAGAAATAGCAAACACTCCAGAATAGATTATAAATTCTGTGTTCTTAGATGTCAGGAGGTAATAGAAATATTTCTGACACTACTGATAAATTAATGTAAAACAAAGCTCCCAGCATTTGACTGATTATACACCATCAAGCAGTACAGTTTAATGTTCCAGAATATGTACATATTTGGCTACATGTGACGTTATTATTCACAATTGTAACCACCTGCCATCCTATCTCATTCCTCAGGTTGGGTGGTGGGGTCTTTGGAGATCCTCGGCAGTCCTGCTAGCCTGGTGCGGAGTATCGGTAATGGCGTGTCAGACTTCTTCCGTCTGCCGTATGAGGGTCTGACCCGAGGACCTGGAGCCTTTGTCAGTGGGGTCTCCAGAGGTACCACCTCTTTCGTCAAACATATCTCAAAAGGTAACACCAATGTTCACAATCTTTTAATTTTCTCTTAGAGGTAAACATTACTTATGTAATCTAAATCGTTTTTATTTATATTCATTTTATTTTGCTATCATACAGTGAGCTGTGTAATGAATGAAATTAATGAAATTACATATCTAAGCACAGGAATATGTCTGAGGAGAAGGTGTCACTGGTTCATAAAGAAATAAGCACAAATAAGTCATGTACTGACACAATTTCTCTTTTTGAATCTATGATTGAATATTGTTAGGCACTATCACTAACCACCAGAACACATGATGTCATTTGCAAAGTGCGAACATTGAATGTGAACATGGCACCATTGTGTTCAGGTACGCTGACGTCCATCACTAACTTAGCAACAAGTCTGGCCAGGAACATGGACCGGCTGTCTCTGGATGAGGAGCACTACACCAGGCAGGAGGAGTGGAGGCGACAGCTGCCAGAGAGTCTCGGGGACGGACTGAGGCAGGGGCTGTCACGACTCGGCATTAGCTTGTTAGGTATGTGTACATACATACACACACACACTCACTTGTTTATCTCACACTATCAGCTGTTTTTTCAGTAGCGTAAAATAAGTGTTTTGACAATAATACAATTTTGTAGTCATGGTTTTTGAAAATACAAAGGGGTGTAAGCACTATGTTGGATTGTCTTTAAGTTACAAATAATATATATATAATATATAATAATAAATGAATTTCAAGAGATACTTACGACTAAGAAAGAGCGATAAATCAAGCCTATGCTCTGCCCACATATATTTGCACGCACCATGCACACTCTCACACACACACACACGCGCACACACACACACACACACACACACACWCACACWCACACACACACACACACACACACACACAAAGTGGCTTTCACAATTACAGAGAGCTTTGAGACGGAGCAGTGGAGACAGCGCAGCAGGGACTCAATAAACACCCAGAGGGCCGTAACACTGTAAAAAAGGTCAGAGCATCGAAACCAAACAGCTGCACGGATCTCTAGGTTACAGTGGATTATAATTTGTGAGATGCACAGTAAATCACATCATCTGTGTCGTTCATAGCATGAATGGTCAGATCTTTTCCGGAGGGTAAAAGCATATCTGAATTCCTGAGATCTTTTGGACTCTGTATCTAAGTGAGGACTCACCATCTCGCTGAAAATATGAAAATATCTAAAATCACCACCTTTCCCCTTTGTTGGCCAATAAAGGCGTCGTTTAAATTCATCTGTACAACCTGCGTTTTTTCATTATAAATATTTTATTACAATTGATGAACACAGCACATCCGACAAATAGAGGACAAAGACTTTCTACTGTATTTTTTACAGGAGCGATAGCAGGCATTGTTGACCAGCCCATGCAGAACTTCCAGAGGAACTGGGAGACGCAGACCTCAGCTGGTAGCAAAGCCAAAGGCGTCATCTCTGGAGTAGGGAAAGGAATTGTGGGTGTTTTCACCAAACCCATCGGTGGAGCAGCTGAGCTGGTGTCCCAGACTGGATACGGTGAGTTCAGAATTCTTTTAAGAGCTGCTGTAGAAGCTGTACTGTGGGTAAAATCAGAGAGCAATTATCATGATCAACACAAACTATGATAAACTCATTCTGCAAACCAAGAGCTCAGTAGCAATGATCTAAAAACCCCACACATGAATTGGAGTTAGTGTGTCAGGAAGTCTGAAATGGATTGACAGCCCTCCAGTCATTTAGTCGTGTGGCTAATCATAAACTTTTCTAGTCTTGATGACCACTCAAAGCACTGTACAGTACAGGTTGCTGCCATTCACTCATTCATACAGCCATCAGAGATGATTTGGGGTTCAGTATCTTGCCCGGGGACACTTCGGCATGCGGAATTGGGAACCGCCGACCTTCTGATTAGAGGACAACCCCTCTAGCCACAGCAACCCCTGCACATATGGACAGTTGAGGACCCTCAAGTTAGTATTTTATTGGGGGCAGAAGATGTGGGTCGGGGTGAGAAGTGGATCAGAGGGTGGTGTGTGTGGATGCTAACAGGCCTTTGCTACAGCACATAAACTACCAACGAGCTGAGCAGCTTCCTATTAGAGCCGTGACTCCCTGAGGACGTGATCTATCTAATCCTCTGAGCTCACACAGCACACAAACACAAACTTGTGCATATGCTCACTGCCTCAGCAGAAACACACTCACCAGCAGACACTCTGATACTCACTCTAACAGACACACTAAAAGGTCAAGATAACAGTGATATATGTTATTATTATTATTGTACAGTACAGTGTATTTATTTGTGGAGTAATTCTGTCACACTCCATCCTCTCTTATGAAATGGATATATCGACACAAATACTAACTCACACTAACTCAGAGCTACAGTGTTGCAGAGTATCACTGCAGTGACATCATGAATGGGTCTCGCGGAGGTCTTTACGGCTCTGTTTAACTGCTTGATGACTTCACTGGCTCGCTGATACTAAAGTAGAGTTAAAGCAAACCTCACCACACACACACACACGCAAGGGTTATGAACTCACTCTGAAGTATGAGTGTGGAATTTCAAGTTAGAAGGGTCTGTTTAATAAAATGGTAAATGGTCTATATTGTTAGAGTGCTTTTCTACACACATTCATAAAGTGCATCCATGAGCAGCACTTTTCTGTCATACATCAATCATACACTTCCGGCTCAGGAAATTTCGTGTTCAGTATCTCGTCCGTGGACATCGTAGCACGTGGGATGGAGGAGACAGGGATTGAATCGGCGATATTCTGATTAGTGGACGACCCGCTTTATCCACAATACTGTCAAACAGAGAACGTAAGGCACCCTTCAGTTGCACTGATGCTGCCTTGTTGTCTTTGTGTCTCTTCTAACAGGGATCCTTCATGGAGCAGGACTGTGGCAGCTTCCCAAACAACTCTACCTGCCTGTAGAGGAGAAGTCGGCTCAAGCCCCAAACAGCCACCTTAAATATGTCTGGTATGACCCTGGAGCCCCTCATTAATCCTGCAGGCTCCTCCTTAAATTTTGTGCAGCTCTTCCTCTAGAAATGCAACATATGTTTTTGCCTTTACTTGTGTTGGACTCTCTCCAGAATCTGCTGTTCCACCTCTCATCATTTTTGCTGTTGTGTTTAAAATAACCTTGGAGAGTTTATTACCCACTTTCTCCCCACAAAAAAGCCTGGAAAGATATTTGACCTTGATCCCACACATGGTAGCCAGCCTGCCCTACTTTGTTCTCATTGAGCCATGGTAAAAGGTTTTTATAAGCACCCTGCCAAAGCCGCCAGCTAGAAATTGTGCTAGTTATTTAACTATGAGTTTATCCAGAGATCATTCCCTGTGCCATCAGATGGAGGAGGAACACCTCTCTGTTTTAGCTGTAATGGTTTGGAGAGACTCAGTTTACAGAGGTCACATGTTTGGGTACAGTGGAGTAAATCATCTCCAGCCCTGTGTTTCACAGATTCCAAGATTCCAGTGAAACACTCAATGTTATTATGCACATTTTCTGAGGCCAGTGTGTGCAGAAGGTGATCAGGAGCTGCAGTAAATGCATTTGTGGTGTTTTCGAAGGTTTTTTCTGCTGTTTGGTTTCCATAGCTATCAATTAGCTTCTATTAGCAGTCTGCTATTGTCAACCACAATGAGTTACAACTACAATATGTCTTCTGGACATTCATGGATGGGCAAAGATACGTAAAAAAAATATATTTTAAAATAAAATACCAAATACACTAATTATAAGTGTATCAAAATAATACAACAACCACACCATTTATCAAAATAAACTACTATATTTTTGTATTTTAAACAAACTAAAAAATACAACTTATATTTATCAGCCTATTTGATCTATCCCTTCAGCAGTGACCTCAGTTGATGAAGTAACAGCTAACAAGGCAACACATAGTTCAAAGAGTCTGAGCTACAGTACCTGTTTGGTAATGACGGACCTACCTTTGCACCAGCAACACTGACAACCATTACAAACAAGTCATTCATAAGAAGACAACTGATGGCACCTTTATCCTGAGAAACTATTTTCTAAGTAATTCATTAATCAATCATTCAATTGTTAAACAGTAGTTACTTCAGAACAATTCTCACAAAGCACACAACAGCCCCCAGTAAGTTACACACTTTGACCTAGAGAGGTTCTGTAGTGGCTTTGCAGCACAACATTGTTTATGACATTAGACACACAACATGTGCATTTACTAAGTTAAACCATCTCTTTGCATTATAAAGAAATGTTATACAACAACTCTGAGACACTTTACAGTTTTCTTCCTGTGCGCAGTCGACAAAAACAGTGTGGATAGGTTAGGTAACAGTAACAGTGCAAGGTGACATTAACTGTGAGGGCTGGTCACGGATACTAGGATACTAAAACAAACACCAAAACCAGGAACTGTTAAGAATTGTAGCAATTTATGCAAAAAATCGAGCTGGCAACCAACACAACTCTCACCCTGTTCATTCCTCTTTTGGTCTCGCTTCGTGATGGATCATTCATTCAAGTCTGGGCAGATTACTGAGTAAACACCAATCAGAGGCTGCATGCATCAATTTTCATTTTTATGACATCATCACATACACGTCTCAGAGAAACTATTTAAAATTATATTTTTTACCTACAAAAATACAAATTACAAAATAGTATTTTGTATTTCAAATATGTATTTTGAATACATGTGTAAAAGATTTTAGCTTTCATTACTTGAGGGGGTTAGTGATACTTTGCACTAATGTTAGAAGAAGATGAAAAAAGAAGATCAAAATACATGAATGCTGAGATAATGCCCCCCTGTGGTTTCATTCATGCTGCACCGCAGTCAAACTGGTTTCCATCAGGCGTCCATCAGTTATTTCTACTACTGCAGGTAGCCCACACACCCGAGGGGTCAGGCAGTCAGAGCAGAGCAACACAGAGCAGAACCAAACTGTCACTACTGTAGCTGCTTCAACATCTGCTCTGTGAAGCACCTGCCCCCCAAATAAACAAAGTGTCAGAGGAACATGAGTGAACACTTCACTTCCCCCTCACATGTGTGTGTAATAGGAACCATGCAGAGAAAATGCAAAAAATGTAAATCACAGGATGTATGCACACACATATGGTAACTTGTATCAGTGGGTTGATGTTAGTTTGATTCTTGTGTTTATATGGAAAGTGTGTGTCAGACGTTAGGAGGTCTGCCCAACTATATGTGCAATTATATGTACGCACATAATCCATTCACAGTGGGTGGGGTAATATGGATGTGATTATTCCCCACAGTGTACGGGTGATCAAGCATTAGATTACACCGGCCTAATTTTTAACATTTTATCATCATGTGAATTTTCCAGTCAGTTTTCAATGTACATCACTGTGACCACAGGAAGATGCTTCAGTCTCTTGGGCGGCCAGAGCTCCACATGGCCCTGGAGGTGACCATCGTGAGTGGGTCAGGTCAGGAGCACGCCGGCTGTCTGCTGCTCACCTCTGAGGTGCTGTTTGTGGTCAGTCTCAGTGAGGACACACAGCAGCAGGCTTTCCCCATCACAGAGGTAACTGACAGTCATCAGCACATCACAGATCTCCTGTCCACACTCAACAACAGTTCCTGTGACGCTCCACTGAGCGTTTGTTTGGCAGTGTGAGTGTGAAATGTCCTGTCGTCTGCAGGTGGAGTGTCAGCAGGAGCCAGGACAGGAAGGCCAGCTCACCCTCACTTTACAACAGCAGACCGTCACCAGTGACACAGAGGTGAGACAGAGAGTAACAATAATATAGATAATTAATAAATAAATCACAGAGCTAACATACAAAGCTTCTATAAGATGATTGTCAGAATATTATATGTAGGTATGCTTTGATTTAGTGGATATAATGGTTGGAATTTTTTGATTGATTTTTACATCCACCAAAGAGGTTATGTTTTCATCTGCGTTTGATTGTTGGCAGAATTATACAAAAGCTACTTTCCATGTGATTTTGTGAAGAGGTGGGCATGTCTATGGAGGAAGCCATCACATTTTGGTGTGCATCCAGGACGTTTTTTCACTTGCTTTGGCATTGTGAGGTAGTTTTCTACATTTTCATAGATTTCTGAGGAAACAATTCATGGATCTTGATGAAAAAAAATCAGGCATATTAAGGGGACCCATATTTTAGAGTTTGTACAATTTGGTGCAGATCCAAATAAAAAACTGGTTCTAGTGAATTTAAAGGTGGTGTCATAAGGGAACTGTTGGGCATTGACTCTACTGAGTTAAGTTAGTTTGCTTTATTTGATGTTTTAGTATTTATTCTCCATCTGTGCTATAGTGCTTACTTATACAGTAATGAGTCTGTAGACCTATATATTTTTGAGTCCTGTCAGTGTAAAGGGTCAGAACAATCCTTTAGACACAGGTAGATTTGACATGATGCTGTACATTATGAGCAGATGAATCATTAAGGGGCAGTAACTGTCTGTCACTGATGAAAATCTTTTTACATGTTGGTGGAACAGCTGTTTTCACCAGTTTCTCTGTCAGGTTAAGACTGCTCTTGTGTTTGTTGCATACAAATATGTTGTCAAGGCAACCACTCTACCACGTGTCCTCGATGGCATATAATAGGAGACCATATGAGAATGAACTGTATTAGTCCCAGGGTAACAGTGATCATGTTTGTGTCCTCCCCAAGGGGGACGGTGTTCGTGAGCGTCTGTCGGAGCAGCAGTATCAGCGGCTGGTGGATTACGTGACGAGAGCCTCCCAGTTTATCTCCCCCTCCGCTGCCTCTCTGCAGCTGCAGCCCTCAGTGACACTGGCTGAGCCACCGCCCACTGTCACCAAGTCTTACCGCTACCTGGTGGATCCAGCCTTCACCAAGGTGTTCGTCAGCAAGTTCCACATGGTAAAGAATAAAGCTTTGCGCATTGGATTCCACTGATACACACATCAGTGGCTTTCTGAAACTGATACATATGAGATCAGACGTTTGTTCCAACTGAAATTGAGCCTTAAATACATTTGGAATACACACTAGTTTGGCTCCGAAAAGATAACTTATGCAAACATAGCTGTTGAGTTAAAATCATTTTTGTATCTAACTGTAAAACTCCACCTGATTACCCACACCTTTAAAAGATACAACAAACATTACACAGCTACAGAGAGTCTGACAATTTCAAATCTGTTTTAATCAAAGTCACATAAGTTAAGACGTTTTTTTTTTTGCTCAGACATTTTGACTGTAGCCAACACTAAAACATGTATGTGTCAAATCAAACCAAGGACTTGTTCAGTCGATGTGAAACCTCTTCAGTGTTGCAGATAGAAACATCATTCTGTTTCATTTCTTTCCAAACTATCTGTTTCACTGTGTCTCACTCCACAGAATAAGGTCTTGGTGTTTACTGTCTCATGCCACTGTTCAGTACAATATTATTATGTTGATGGACACTAAAGAAACCAGCTGTCAACCAAAATGTTTTTTATAGATGTGACATAATTGTTTGACTTCAACATTTTTCTTTGTAACCTTACATTGATGCCAACATGATATTGTGCACTATTGAGTGTAAATTAAGTCTATTGTGTTCAGTGTATATAAATGTATATTAATATAGAAATGTTTTATTAAAAATATTAAACATAATATAAAGTGTGATTCTATTATTGTCTGAACCTAAATATTTGTGCATTTAATTGCATTTGTCTTCACCTCAGTAAAACCAGTAGTTTTCCATCAGACATCATGAATTTTCAAACCGCAGCATTGAAACAGGTAAGAGCAGGTGTTTGTTACACTAGCTTTGAAACATTCTTACATCATGTGTAAACCCAACCTCAAACTTCTTCCTCGATACCAGTAGGAGCTCAATTTTCAGTCTGTGTCGGAGTCCAGTCTTACACTTTCATTTCATGTTGCAGCTGCTCACACCTCCTGCAGTAAACATGAGAGGGACCTTTGCTTAGAGGCAAACTGTTGCGTAAAGCCATTGAAGAAGCACGATTCACTTACTGTTATATCTATTACACTTTGTACTCTCTGCTCTGGAGGAGCGGTGTGACTGTCTGTGGCTGAGCTGACTGTCTGCAGACCTGACGCTGCAGCTGGAGGAGTCTGCAGGGGAGAGAGGAAGACACAAATCACTGGGTGTTAAGCAGCTGCTCATTCAGTCCCTGAAGAGATAGGCAAGTTTGTATTCATGCATCAGAGAATTTTTACCTTAAAAGACCTGTACGAAGTGATGATCTCCATCTGTGTGTATAGAGTTTCTCCTCTGTACCTCCCCATTAAAACACGATTTGCACTTTGCTTCATTTCCACTCACCCTCATTCATCATGGACTGAAACTATGTCCTGCGTTAGCACCACACTTCATTTAAATGTCCATGCAGTGTGGACTCTTAATGTGTGGACTCAATACTCATGCACAGAGCATTGAAATTTAATGACAGGCTGAAGTGACTGTTTTGGCCAGAGGGCTGTGTAATGAGACAGTCCTGATGTGTGGAGGGGGTTGGTTTAACAAAGCTTTGACTTCAATCGTCCATTTATATCAGAGCCTTGGAACTAAAGCTTGAATCTTAGCATGGGATCAGCAAAGTATCACTTCAGTGTAATGGTTTACAGAGTTCACCCTGACTACTTACTTTCCCAGTGTGCATGCGTGTGTTTACCTGAGGCTGTGGCAAAAGAGGCTGCCAGCTGACTCTTCCTCCTCAGCAGCACCTCCTCTCTCTTCAGAGCTGCCATGTATTTGGAGTAGGACCATGAAAGCTGAGGAAAAATATCCAGAAAACGAGTCAAATCAAAACAGTTCAGTTCAGATGGAGGATTGAGTTTCTGTGGTTAGATCTGACACACCCTTGTTTCTGCTTCATGCTGTAAATTGGTTTATCTTCATGACTGCACTATTTTATATTATATTGTATTTTTTGAGATGGTTACCTTTGGCTTTTTTCATACAACAAATTTTACACAGACAAATCTTCAGCTACATCCTAGAGATGAACATCAGAGCGTGCCCTACCCGCTGAGTGGCCGACAATAGCGCTCTGCTCTGTGTCCTCCACTCTCTTCCACCGCTTCTCCTCTCTGGATTGTCTGTATCATCTGCATCATCTGCGTCACTGTCCATGTCTTGTTCTTGAAAACTGGATTCTTGTGTCTCCCACTCTTCCTGTACAGAAGAGGTCAGTTTGAATGGAGTTTGTTTTTACCGCAAATTTTAAATACCACATTTTTTCTTCACCTGAGCTCTCCTCCTCTCATCCTCCTCTTCACCCTCCTCCACTTTCCTCCTCTGTCTTCGCACTCTGGCTCTGTGTTTGACTCGTTTGTCCTGCAGTAGAGGAAGGAGTTGCTCCTCTTGGACGCTGCTGCAAAGCTCTTGAAATTCGGGCCAAAACTTCAGCAATTCGCTGAACACTGACATCTACATGAACAGAACAGAGAACACCTGTATAAAGCACACATACAGGAAGATGCACAATGCAAACCATACATACACACACACACACACACACACACAACCTGTGCTTCTCTGAAGATGTAAGGCCCAAGCTCGTGGCGTTTCTCCAGAATGTGCTGGGCCTGTTCAGGAGGGATATCTATCTGTAAGGTGGGGGGCATGGACGAGTTGATGAAACAGTTGATGATGGTGGAGATCTTCTGCTGGATGGTGGCCTCATCACTGTGAGAGTGACAAAGGTCCTTCATACAGGAGGAGAGGGGACAGGAGCAAAAGGTAGAATATGAACTTTTCCTCACTGCTACTTCACGGATGTGTTAATCAGCTGATTTGAGAGTTGTAAAATATGAACCAAATTAAGTTAAAGAAAGCATTTTTTAAATTGTAAATTTAACAATAGGGGAGAAAACAAAGATGAGAGAAATCAAAATGGCATAAGACAAAAACCTCAGATCAGATTTTACAAACTGCAACAAGTACATTGCACCATTTCTTTTTTTTTACCTTATACCTCTGGACCTCGAGCCAAAAGAGCATGTCATTCTCCAAGAAGTCTCCCTTCAGGGAGACAAAGTGCTGGAACTGCATACAAGTGACAGGGTTGAGTAAGATCTGTCGAAACAGGAGAATCTCTTTGGAGGAACTCATCCATAAGCTGCTGGCCTGCAGGGGACCAAACAGAGCTGTTAAAGAATTCAATAAAAAAAGATGACCTACTTGTGTAAACATTATAACAAGAGAGAAAACACTGTAAATAGAGCAGGAGAAATATAGACGATCTGTGACCTATGAGCTACAGTCTTAGCTCACAGTAAACTGAGATAATGACACTGTACTCAGAAAAGCTGTTCTTTGCCAATGATGAGATAATGACTTGAGAGATGAGAGTCATAATCATGTATGAAAACTTCTTCCTGTAATCATCCTGCTTAAAAAGTGAAATGCTCATGTTTAATATCCCAGTTCTACTGTAGAGGCTGCAGAGCCACGTGGAAAACACTCCTAAGACGTTTAAAAGAAAGTTAGTAATGCTGATGCTTTAATCTTATTTATCCTGGATCCAATTTGGGTTACAGGGCCAAAATTGTATTTTGACAAAGCCAGAGCTTGAAGCCAAGTCATGAACTAAATCCCACATGCTGTCAGGCCAGAAAATGCCTTATTTTTCTCCTTTCAAAATATCCATTTCTTCTTACCTTCCAGGGTTTTCTCCTCGATCCGCGTCGGTGGTGGACGTGCTGTGAGAGCCTGCCTGCTGCTTGGTGCTACCACACACACACACACACATACGCACGCACACACACACAGACACACACACACAGATACACACACACAGATACACACACTCACACACACAGACACACACACACACACACACACACACACACACACACACACCGACAGGTCAAAAGTCAGAAACTGAGTAAACAGGGACACTGAATACCTCTCAAAGCTCTCTGATCTACACTGCACACTGCTCTTCGGCATTGTGAGCAGCTGAAGCTCTTGCTGATTTTTTTACCTTTAACCCTCACACAGTTCTTCAGTTCTTCTGACCTTCTCTTACTGAGATCTCTCCCATGTCATGTCTGTCTCCCAGCCCCAACCTCCTCTATCCTCGTCTTCACCTCTACAACATCTTTTCCACACTTCCCCTCCTCTCCTCCTCCTCTCCTCCTCCTGTTAGTAATGCTAAACTAAGTCAACCTCTCATTACTTAATGACAGGATCCCTGTGACCAAACATGGCAAACTTGATAACATAATGAGGCAGAGCAGCAGAATCTGCCGTGTTTGAGTTGACATTTGATGAGGCAACCTGAGAGTGAGACTGGACAGTGACAGCATTTAGTGGTTTCTCAAATGGCAGGGCTGCTAACGTGTGTCTAATTTCTTTTCTCTGTTCACTCTCAGCAGCAGGGATCTAATACTAAAATGGGACACTATCGAGGGTTAGAACATATATTGATATATTGATCTTTACTGATGACACACTGCTAAATGTGTTAGATTTGTACATGGTCATGTTTAACGGTGTAACAGACTCATAATCAGTTTGCATGCTAACATTTGCTAATTCAAAAATTATTGAATTAAATTAGTTAATTTCTGACAAAGAAAAGGTCAAAGTGATGTCAAAGAAATTCATTCAATCGATGTTGAGAAAACATTTACCTCTATACTATATGTATGTGTTTGGATGAAAATAATGTTTGAGATTAAATTACTTAAACTAACTAAAGTACTTTGAATAACACTAACAATTTGTACATTTACTAATGTCACCATGTGGATAATAGTCATTATTATCCAGGGCAGGAAGTTGTTCTACCTGCGGTTTGTGTTTCTGTCGCTCTGTAAACTCTGCTGTGCACAAAAACTGGGGCAGCCATGTTTTCTCTATGTGATTCCTGATGATGTCCTGGATCTCCACAACAACCAGGTTTGAGAGACACTCCAGCTTCAGACGCTCCAGTCCACCAGCCAAGTACAATATCTACACACACACA